CTGAAGTAAGGGTGGTCCTGGGGAAACCCAAGCTTGTGGCTGCTTCTGAAGTAAGGGTAGTCTTGTGAGAATTGTTCCCTCTGACTTTGCAGTTTGGCTAACAAATATCATTTATTTTTAATAAAAACTTCAAAACTCTTGAAAGAAAATTCAAACCAGGCAACTGAATTTAAAGGTGCTCTGGTGGTACAGTTGTTGAAGTGCTTGGCTGGTAACCAGGAGGTCAGTGGTTTGGGGAGAAAGATGTGGCAATCTGCTTCTGCAGAGATTTACAGCTTTGAAAACCCATAGTGGCTAAGACACTTGCCTGCTAACCAGACGGCTGGCGGTTCAAACCCACCAGCCACTCCTCGGAAGGAAGGTTGGGCAATCCTACTTCCGTAGTGATACTGCCTCGGAAACCCAAGGAGGGGTCGCTATGAGTCGGGGCCGACTCGACGGCACATAACAACAACAACAACAATGGGGCAGTTCTACTCTGTCCTATGGGATCATTAGGATTCCAAATCAACTCCATAAGAACAGATGTGGTGTTTGGTTTAACTAAACTTAAGTGCCACGTTTCAGATTTAAGTGAAATCTTACATATTCGATAGAAATGCCAGCTTACCAAGTTTTGGATTAAAAGTCAAGAAACACAATTCAGCAGCTTACTACATTTTCTTCCCTGTCAGCACTGGCCAGTTACTCTTGGAGCAAAAGGAAGACAGTGCTTTAAAAAGCAGAAGCAATGTGAATGTGAGCAAAACAGAAAAATAAAAGAGTGTTGCTTTGATTTTAAGGTTACCAATGTTTGGTGCAGATAAAGCAAAACTTTAAAATGGTTAGGCTAAAGGGAAGTGAAATCCGACTATTGCTACTAACTCTAGACACATCTGATTTCAAAACCACATAAATGACACTGCATCGAATCAGGCCTAACAATTAGCTCCGGTTGTTAGGTTGAGAAAGTAATATATTTATGTCAGGTATGACTGAAAACCACATTAGAGGAAGCTTTAAGTGAAATTCTGTCTGTTTAGGTTTCTGACACTTACCTTCTAGGACTGGCTATTTCTGAAAATGAGTGAACGTGTTATAGGTTGAGTTAATTAGGCTAAAAGGTCACCTCCCACTCATAAAGTTGTTTTGAATACTATGGATAAAGAAGTCATCCATTAAAATATAAAGTACAAAATCTAACGTAAGTACACAATTGCAAATGTCATTGTAGTTATTTATTTAGATCACATTTTTAAATGAGATAGTGCCTTTAATATGACTTTCATAGTCCATCATCCACTGCCATTCATTCATCCATTCATTTGTTCATTCGGATATATATACACTCAAGTAATATAGAGGTGGCGATGGGGAAGGTATTACGGAGGTGGAGATGGATGTCAGGAGGAAAGGAACGGTAAGACTGCAGCTCTGGTAGAGAAGGGATGAAGAAAGAAAATAACAGACGTGAGACTGGATGAGAAGAAAACTTTTACAAGTCTGTAAAATGTGTTTGAGGGAAGTTGGGCACTAACAGTTGAATCTATCATTATAACAGACATGCACCTACAGGTAAAGGGATGTAGGCTGTGTTTTATTATCAATAAAGCAATTTATAGTGCTTTTCCATGTACAAACCATTTAATAGCGATTATCACATTTAATCCTCACAGCTACAGTGTGAGTAGTGTTCCCGTTTTACAGATGAAAATACTGAGGCCTGAGGGGGAATATCATACAACAGTAAGAAGGCAAGAGGGGCAAGACTCAAATTTAGATCCTCTTCCTCTAAATCAGGTGCTTTCTGCACAATCCCATCACAGTCTAGTTAAGTCAGATTTATCAGAGAATGTCAAAACTGGAAGGGAGTTTGGAGACCAAGTCTAGCCTTCTCCTCTCTAGGTGTTGGGAACGGGCTCTCATTTGCCCCAGCTAGTATATAACAGGTGGGATTAAACCGCTGGTTTACTAACAGCTCCCAGTCTTTCCACTCTATTACCACACCTCAAGACGAAAAGAATCAAATGTTATGCATGTCAATCAGCACTGTATCAAACAGCAAAACAAAAAAGCTATTCCTTTTGAAGCTATAGGGAACCTACTGGCAACAACACCTTCCCCTACACTCCCAGGAATTTTAAGGCTTTGGAGGAATGAAAATAAGCACCTCCACAACAACAGTACTGCTAGAATAATCCACTCCGTTTTGTTGGCCAATATACACATATTATATGCCTATTATGTCAAATCTTCTAATAACTTTCTTCACAGAGGAAAAAGTTCCCATACACCTGTCTATTACATTTAATCAGACATAACATGAGTATGGTTCTTACCTAAAGTATATGTGTAATTCGCTTACATGGTTAAAAAATCAGATTTAAACCATCTAACCAACATTTGCTGAGAGCCAACAAAGTAGCAGTTATTGCTCTAGACATTCATTCATTCATTCATTCATTCATTTATAGGACTATATCTAAGAAGCTTAGTGATACTGGCTTAACTCTCAAGGCTTAACTTTATCCACATAGAGTGAACTACTGCCAAATAAACTTAGCAATTTCACACAAAGACACTTAATCTCTACAAACCTGTTAGGCAGGAAGTCAAGTCACATCAAGCAAGTATGCAATATATAGAACCAATTCAGTTCTGAGGAAGGGGAACTTAACACTCCAAAGGCTGTTTTGTTGTGGAGTGAGTGTTAGAGGGAGGAGCCATAAGTAGGTGCTGAGTAAAGGTTTCCTGAGTGACTGAATGACTTAACTTTCCTGGCTCTTAGTAAGGATCCTATCGGGTTCCGGGAAGAAAATCAGCTCACTTAACTTCAAGGAGCAATAACAGAACAATTCAATATGAATACTGTGATTCTGAACTTTGGTACCTTCGTCCTTGGCTTCTGCAATTTGTAGAATTCTGGCAGCGGACACCAAGGTAGTGGGGAGCCCAGAAAGTCCTGAAGTTCTCTGTTATTTAACCATCAAGAGGCCAAACGGAACTCTGTCAATCTAGGAGCCCATGAGGGACAAAAGTCTTCTAAGAATTACAAAAGAGCTATTAAGATTTAGAAAAAATGACTGCAGAAAGTAGAGATCCACTCTGTGCATCTGGGAAAGCGCCCTTTCCTCATCCTTGTAAGAGGAGAACAAACTCCAAGCGCTCTGAGCCGGAGGCAGGCAATAGTGTTGCCCTGGGTGCTCAGAGCTTCTCAGGCCAACTGCCACACAGCAGCCTCTACCTCAGGAACAATTCCCAAAGTAACCTTATTGAATCCATTAAAAAGATGCCATTCTGTTAAAAGTACTCTCAGATAAAGACCGCCAATTTAGTGACCCCAGAGTCTCCAGGGTTTTCTGCCTAAGAGTGACACAAGACCTGAAGATATACCTGGCTCTACCCTTTTTTCCCTTAAATATACCACACTGCCACAAAACGAGAACTAATTTTAATAGCTGATCTGCTTACATACTTTCTATCTGGGCTCCTGTAGCTAGATCAAGTCCTTTGTATGAATGCTGGGACCATCACAAGTCTTAAAAATACCACAAACCTAATTTATCTGATCCTGCTAGGTCTGCTCCTTCCCCTGGAACAGCTAGCTGCTTTCCCCTCTCTGATCACCCCCATTGCAGGACCTGCCCTCCAAAGTGCAACCCAAGTGGTCCTTAAGTCTTCCTTGAAAAACCAGCATCACTTCTTTTTCTCGCAAAGAAGGAGCAGAGAAAACAACTCCTTGCAGTGAAATGTGGCTTTTTCCCCTGGCTGCTCAAGATGGCTGCTGGCCTTTCCGAGGCCTTTTTGAAATGGCTTCCAAGTTTCTTTTAGCTTCTTGTCCAAAAATCTTTATGTGCTGGTAAATAAATGCAGCATATATTTCTGATTACAAGTACACAGTACCTTCAGAGAGCAGTTTCTAGCCAGGTATCTGGAGAAGTCACATTTTCTCCTAATATAACCATTCATGTCTGGTAGTGCTAGACCGTAGACAGAGTCAATATGCCCCCGACCCCAGCCCTCAACCTTAATGAAGGGACTCCTTATAGTACTCTCCCCCTGCTGTTCTGGCCTATGGAGATCACTCAATGATTTCATGGCTCTGCTTCTGACATAGTATCCCTGTCTAAAATACTATACACACAAACATACACTTTTATTGTTCCCACAAAACAGATCATCTGTGGGGTCCAAACCACTCTTTCACAGTCGTAGGAGGTGCTAAGAATTCTGGTCCCTGAAGCTCCTCAGATAAATATTGCTCAAAAAAACAGGACTTTTTTTTAATGACTTTCTGATCTAAGAGATTAGTGAGCTAGGGCTATTTTACCTGAAAACACTTCAATCTACTTTCCAAAATTTTAATTCAATCAATACATCTGTATATTGTATCAGCCTGAATTTTTCAATGAAAATTCCAGACGTTTTGTCTACATGTGTGTGCATGTGTATGTATATAAAACCCACTGCCATCAAGTCGATCTGACTCACAAAAATCCTCCAGGACAGACTAGAACTGCCCCAGAGGGTTTCATAGGATGTAAATCTTTCCAGAAGCAGACTGCCTCTCCTTCCTCCACTAATGGGTTCTAACCGCCAACCTTTTGGTTAACAGCCAAATGCTTTAACCACTGCACCACCAGAGCTCGCTCTCTATATATGACTTTTAAACATTGAAACTTAAGAAGGAAAATTTAAAATATATATTGAAAAGAGAGAAAGTACTAAATGGGGGGGGGGTGAGAAGCAGTAAGGCTGGCTAGCTCTTCAAACATAAAATATCTGGAGGGATAAAAAGTTGGGGGCTGTGAGAAAGAAGGGGCAAGAGTCCTGGCTTGGTTCTTTTACTCTTGGGTGGCTATCAGTATAGGGTATCTGAAAGAATATCTATCTAGATTGCAGAAGAGAAAGGTTCCAGCTTCCCTGGAGAGACAGGGCTACTACAATCATGGTAAGAGAAGGGAATGAAGACACCCAGGTAGTCAACTGGTTAAAAGCTGAGTGTTACCTATAAAACTCAAGATAACAAAAAGCTTCTTTGATTTGTAAACTTGCACTTATGAACACAATCCCACAAAATAGAATTCAGTGCATATTTCCACACCTTTACAACAGTGATACACACTACTCTTCTCTTTGGAATCAGTGCCATTAAACAGAAATGTACTAAATAGCTGTTTTCCAAAGCAACGCTATAGTGGAGAACAGGTATTCTGAGTTAAATAAATAACACTGCTGTAAGGAACATACAGGTTAGGATTTGACAAGGCTCTTACTGAGGATCACATCATAGTAGGGACTGAAGACCATCTTGTTATAGTTGACGAGGCGAACAAATTTAATAGCAACTTCCTCCAGCTCTTTCTGAACTGGACCCAATCCACCAGGTACTGTGGGAAATGGCTTCTGATGACCTAAGGCAAGGCAGGTTTCTAAGAAGGTCAGGATTCGGGAATCTGTGATGGAAAAGAAAGTGGGTGGTTGTTTTTCATTCAGAGTAAATTTACAAACTTCTGTTCAGCTTCAGTTCTTAGCTTGAACATCACCTCTTCAGGGAACTCTTTCCTGACCAGCCTGCGTCCTGGTACCCAGAGCACCTGAGCTTCTCAACGCTCGTCCGCACTGTATGCTCTGTCCCCAACCCCCCCCCGGTGGTTAGTTTCATGAGGGTGAGAATCTTGCCCATCTCGTTCTTCACGCTCACCCCAGCACACAGCACAGCACCCAGCAAGAGGCCTGGCCATGGTGGAAGACCACATAAGAAAAGAGGGAAGAAAACTAAAGCAGGCATTTTGAGTTCAAAACAAAAGAGAATCAAGAAGATTCTAGCACTGTCAGTTTGTGATCTATCTCTTCCCACTAAGCGCACATGAAAGAAGTGTTAAGTTTTTTTCTTCAGCGCTTTTAATGGAAGACCATGGAAGTTGTAGGCATTTGTGAATTGCCCAATTCTGAGGGTTGACCCTTTCTTTAGCCCAACCCCCTCTACAATGTTTCTGCACTTTCCTGCATGTCTTCATCAGCCAAAAACTATTTAATTGAGTCATTACTGCTTGTGGTTTTCACTAGAGAAACACCTGTTGTTGCTAGTTGCCTAGAACCAATCCTGACTCACGGTGACCCCATGTATGTGGAACAGAACTGTTCCATAAGGTTTTCAAGACGATAATCTTTTGGAAGCAGATCACCAGGTGGGAGGAGCATCTGGATGGGTTTGAACTGCCAACCTTTCAGCTAGTAGTCTACCACTTAACCATTTGTCACCCACGGACTCACAAAAACAACTGGTACATTTATATTAAATGGGTTTTTTCAAATGACATGTGCCATGCCCTCTGCCCCTACAGAGATTCTAATGTATTCCTGGTGCATGGAATATCTTCTCAGGTAGAAATGTTTTCATCACACTGTAGTAATTAATCACACTCTCTCCTCACTCATCAGCACTCATAATCCCATCAACAGCCCTCCTATGTTCCTTTGGAAAGGACTTCCAGAACACCAGGGGACACATCCCTGCTGCCTACCTCCCCCAAAACATACCCATGATCTTGCGAATGGGGTTGTCTGGACTGGCAACGGCCTGGATCTGGCCCTTGAGCACGGTCTCCATGTCTGTGGTGAAGGGGGTGCCACACAGGGTGAGGCAGCTGCTCACCTCCACGCAGACTTTCTCCCCAATGGCAGTCAGGGCATCCTTCAGATGGAAGGAGCTTGAGCAGAGAAGGGAAAGGAGAAGCCAGGGGAAGAAATAGCCTATGAATAAAGTGCACATATAACCAGCACAAACATCCCACTCCCTGACAAGAGTTACAATAACATATCAATGGAATTATGCACTCAACAGGCAATGTTACTCTTCTCACCCCCAAATTTCCCAAGTTGTGTACATCTGACTGGATTGGACCTTTTTTTCACCTCTTCTGCAAGAAAGGGCAGTGGGAACAAGAGGCTCAGGTTATACCAAGACAAAGACCCAAAGCATGACATACTGCTAACATCTGTATGGTGAAACAAGAAGCTCTGGTGGCACAGTAGTTTAGGCATTTGGCTGCTGACCAAAAGGTCAGTGATTCAAACCCACCAGCTGCTCTGTGGAAGAAAGATAGGTCTGTCTACTTCTGTAAAGATTTACAGCCATGGAAACCCAATGGGGGGTCTCTATGAGATGGAATCAACTCGACAGCAGTGAATTTGAGTTTGGTTTTGGTATGGTGAGAGAGACCTGGATCTGACCTAAGAACATCTTCAAATATCTCTGGAACGTGGCTTATGAGCAACACACGAGAAACCAGAAACTGGCTGGCCATGGGATAGAAGTGGGAGACAGAATTTCCACTGGACAGTCTTTGTACCTTGTGATTTTTGAAACATATGAATGTAATAACTACTTTAAATAAAACTGAAATTTAAAAGTTAAAAATATTAGCACCTTGATTCCCTGGACCCCACGCTCTTCTGAGCACCTATGAGGAACCCAGATACCTCACAGTGCTGGGGCACTCCAGCTTATGGGTATTCTGTGAGAAGGTAATTGCCTTTGTTCAATGTCTAGATCCTTTGGACAGTATAATTAGTTGGGAGTAATGAAGAAAGCCCTGGGACTCACCTTCCAGCACCAACTCTGGGCTAGCCACCTGGCTACTGGGTGGATTGGTAAGTGCAGGGCCAGGTTTCTGGGGAAACATCCACACTGGGCCCCCCATTGTTAACTTTGCCAGAGCAGCTCTACAGGGAGGGGCTGCAGGTAAGATCTCTGCTCAGCAAACACCCTCCCTCAGCCTAAATTAGACCACTGGACCCTTACTCATGTCATGTGCATATACATATGCACCTCACTGTACTGGACACATGCATACTTTGTACCAACTCAGCAATAAAATCCCTCCATTTTGTAAGAATGTGAATGTTTGGGGGTCACTTCCCTTGTAGACTACTCTGAATTGGAACTGATCAGATACAATGTATACTTAGAATCATTCAAAAATATTCTCTACATGATATAAATCACCTGAAATAACTTGAGTACAGGGGCAGATACCACAGCTTGCATATGTATAAATATGTTAGTGCTAATTAATAAATTATTATTTTTATACCAAGTACAAATTATCCATGTGAAATACACAGAGGGCAGAAAACTTTAATCACATACATCCAATTCTGAGAGAATACAGCTTGCTTCTTTTTTTTTTTTTTTTTTGCTTCTTTTTTTTAAAATTGTTTTCCTGAGTCTGTATTTTTCAAACTGTGAGATGGTTGTGAAATCAATTCAGTGGATAGCAACAAGTATTTTCTTTTTAATGAAACAGACTAACAGACTATATCATGCAGTAAGCATAGTTAGGGTAAGTTTCATTTGTGAGGGTTTTTATTTCAATTACATATGTGTATAAGTGTGTACTAGCTCACAGCACAAAATGTATTTCTTATTGTGGGTCCTGATTACAAACATTTGAAAGTCACAAGACTAGAAGAGCCTTGCTAACCCCAGTGTTGAGTCTAACTTTGACCCTCTGCTGAATAAATCTTGCTGGGGTCTTCACCAGGTAAACAGACAAGTTAGAAAGCAAGGTGTCCTTCTAGGTTCCTGGAGTGTGCCCTCTTGATTCTGCCTTACCCTGGGATACCCCCACAGCAGTCTTCTCTCGGCCACCCTGCTGCCTCCTATCCATCCATTTATAAATCTACTCCACAGCTCTCAGCCACTTACGGCAGATGCATATCTGTTAGCAGAATCTTGACAATCATCTTGAGTTTCTCAGCAAAGTCGGCCTGGCTGAAAATTACTGGGGCTGCCATGCTGAATGTGACCAGCAACACAGCCCCCAGGATAGTAATTTGCTCCAGCTGGAGCTGGAGCTCTTGGAAGCGGGCCTGGTCCATCAAAACTGTCTGTAATGAACATGAAAGAACAGTCATCACTGAGCTGTAGATTTGAGCTGGTCAGCAGGAGGCAGTGGGACCACAGTGCCTCCACATGCCTCCATGGCTTCCCTCAGGATTTTCTAGAGTCATTTCCCAGCAGTAAGAGTGTCATGTGTGACTTATTCTTCCATCTCAAAAAGAAGGCAGCATAGCACACTGGTGAAGAACATGATACAGACCTAAGGGTAAATCTGGACTCCATCATTAATAGCAGCATGACCTCATGTATGTTTCTTCAACTTTGAACCCTATGCAAAACAAGGATTCCTACTTCAAAAGGCTGCTTTAAAAGATGAGCCAAGATCATGTGTATATAGTAGCTGGCAGAGCCAACATTCAATAAATAGGAGTTATATCATTAGAAAGAGTTCCTGGGTGGCGCAAACAGTTAGGCACTCTACTAACGGCCCAAAGGTTGGTGGTTTGAACACCCAAAGACACTTCAGAGGACAGGCCTGGTGGTCTGCTTCTGAAACGCCACAGCCTTGAAAACCCTATGCACATGGGGTCGCTGTATGTCAGAATGGATGCAATGGCAACTAACAGTAACAACAACTTATTAGAAAAGAAAGAGTAATGACGTTCAGAGGTAGGGTGACCTATTCATCCCACCTTGTCTAGTACTGTCCCAATTTTAAAACTGAAAGTCTTGAGTCTTGGGAACACTCTCCATTCCAGGTAAACCAGAACAGCTTGTCACTCTACAGGACATTTGAGGGAAGATGGGAGGAAATTTCTTGAGAACTGAGACTGTATTTCTTCACTTGGGAATATCCCTTAGCACCTGACACAAAAAAGGCTCTCAAGAATTGGCAAATGAATAAATAAAGAGCAAAATAAGTAGTAAATACAGAGAGGAGGAATGACAGCTACTCTGGAAGCAGCCAACGAGAGCTTCCAGGACTGCTCCTCCTGTGTTGCTAGCCACTCCATGAAGACACCCATGGATCCCCCCTATGCCAAACCGTGGGGTGAGGAAAAGATAGCAGAAAGGCTGAGGAAACCTGGTTTTTGACTTAAGTTTTTACAGGTTCATCAAATGACTCTCAAGGCCCAGCTTGCTGTAAGAAACACACATACAAAATCAAAGCATTAATAATTTGGATTCTTAGCCCAGAATTCTTCTGAAGAAGATAAAAACTTTCTTTGAAGATTGAGAAACCTAATGTTGATAAGCCTGTTGAAACATATATATCTTTTTAGCAATACTTCCCAATGCAGACGTATTGCTCTGGGCAAATCTACTGCAAAAGACCTCTTCAAAGTGCTGAAGAGCAAAGATGGCTCTTTAAAGACTCAGGTGCCCAAGCCATGGTGTTTTCAAGCATCTCACATGCAGCCCAGTGAAAGCTGGGCAATGAACAAGGAAGAACAAGGAAGAGTTGATGCTTTCGAGTTGTGGTATTGGCGAGGAACACTAAAAGTACCACGGACTGCCAGAAGAACTAATAGAGCTGTCCTGGAAGAAGTGCAGCCAGAATGCTCCTTGGAAGTGAGAATGGCCAGACCTCCTCTCACCTACTTTGGTCTTGTTGTCAGAAGGGACCATTCCCTGGAGAAGGGTATCATGCTTGGTAAAGTGGAGGGTCAGCAAAAGAGGGGAAGGCCTTTGATGAGACAGACTGACACAATGGCTCCAGCAATGGGTTCACATATAGCAAGGACTGTGAGGCTGGTGCAAGACCAGGCAGTGTTTCTTCTATTGTACACAGGGTTGCTATGAGTCAAAGCCGACTTGATGGCACCTAACAACAACAAAAACAACATTTTACTTAATTTCACAACAAAGCAGTGGCCTTGCTTTCTTGAATTCTGGCCTCCCAAAAGTATGCAGTACTTGAGTTCAGGGTGCAAAAAATCTTCAAGGACCAACTCTGACAGAAGCAGAAGTGTTTGCCCAGTGAACACACCATCTTCCCCATAGCTCAGTATTTTAACAAAAACATCAACCTGAGAACCGCCCTCCAGGAGAAGAAAGCTACTATTTAGAAAGGAACATAACCCCTCCCCTATTAACACACCACTCCCAGGTCTTCCTCCTGCACAAAACAGAGAACTCAGAGGCAAGATGTGAAACTTCCTAAAACTAAAAATAAGGAAACTTAAATGAGACTGATATTTAAAGTAGTAGCAGGATCTGTAGCTAAAGAAGCCTGAGTGCCCTCAAAAAAAAAAAAAAAAAAAACTGGGGGGGTTCCATACAGCAAGTCAGATATTTGCAGACAAAATAGAGGAGAGACCTTGTTAGTCATACCCTTAAAGGAATATTACAGTTAAAAGAAAGGAATATAAAAAGCATAAAAAGGAAAAACTATTACTCAGCATGGAAGAGAGAGAAGTTTCTTGAGATCAACCTGGAAAAGGTGGCTAGCCACTGCAGATGTGGTTTTAATCAGATGAATTAAACATGATAAAAGTTCAGCAACACCAACTGGGACTCTCACCCATTGCTGGTAGGGTCATTAAACAACGCAGCTGCTTTGGAGTACAGTTTGGCAGTTCTTCAAAATGTCACCACACGACCCAGAAATTCCACTCATAGGTATGTACCCAAGAGAACTGAAAAACTGTCACACAAAAACATGAATGTTCATAGCAGCAGTATTTATTAACAGCCAAAAAGTAGAAAAACCTCAAATGTCTATCAACTGATGAATGGATAAACAAATGGTGGTGTATCCATACAATGGACTATTGTATAAAAAGTGAATAAAGTATTGATAATGCTATAACATAGGAGCCCTGGTGGTGCTTGAACCCACCAGCTGCTCTACAGGCGAAAGATGCAGCAGTCTGCTTCCATAAAGATTACAGCCTTGGAAACCCTAGGGGGCAGTTCTACCCTGTCCTATAGAGTCACTATGAGGTTTTTATAATTCTATAACACAGATGAGCCTTGAAATCATGGTACATGAAAGAAGCCAAACTAAAAAGGTCACATATTATGACTCCATTTATAGGAAACGTCCAGAAGAAGCAAATCCACAGAGGCAGAGAGGTAGTTAGGCTACGGGGACATGGGGAGTGGCTCTGTTAATGGGCAGGGAGTGTCTTTTGGGGCTGATGAAAATGGTTTGGAATTAGTAGTGGTGATGGTGGCACAATTTTGCAACTATACTAAAAAGAACTGAATTGTACATTTTAAAAGGATAAATTTTATATGTGAATTGTATCTTAATAAAAGCTGTTATTGAAATAAAGCTCGGCAGCACAAAAGAAATAGGAGCAGTTAGAATACTCAGGAGCACTCACTTCAGGGAAAGGTCTCTCGAGGTGGTCCCATTTCAGAAGCTTCAAGTATGCACAATTCTGGACAGCAACAGGACTTGGCATGGTAACTTCCTCAGAGCTAGCAGCCCCTCCCCCAGCTGGCAGGGAATTTTTATACTTCTGATTCATAAGGTCATCTGAGGCTTCATCTAGCCACTGGGTGACAAAGTCTAAAGAATCTGTGAAAAATAAGACTGCAAATATTACTGAGACAATTAGGAAGTGCATTTCTTGAAATTACTTTAGGGAAGATCATCCTGGAAGTGTGGTAGAATATAAAGTGCAGACTTTGGAATCAAATCGAACTAGCTGAGTGATTTTACTAAAACTAAACCAAACCCACTGCCATTGAGTCGATTCTGACTCATAGCGACCCACACTGTGTTTCCCACAATGCCTTAGGCATTGTGCCACCAGAGGAAGTCATAATCCCTCGGAACATCAGATTCCCAAAATAAGGAAATTTACCAGGGTTTCCAACTGGTTTAAAATGGCTCCACCATAAACAAGAGCAGCATATGCATTGTACAATAACCAAATCTGTTGCCTGTAATATTTTGACCCGAGAAGGAAACAAACAGATATGACCTGCTCAAAGATGGCAGCCAACAGTGCCATTATGAATGTGTGTTGTTCTTCTGAGTCTCGCCAATAATCCAATCTCCCTAATCTGGCTCCTGAAACTAACAGGAATAATGGCTGTGGAAGGACTTTTGGACAACTACATTGTTGGCAGGACTTTGGAGAGTAATACACATTCAAAGCAGCATGGTTGGCCACCACCTTTGAGTGGGGCACAGCTGTTTCTTTCCTACTTGGATCAAAATACCACAAACAACAGATTTGATTGCCATGCAACACACGCAGCCCTTCATTACAATGGCAATTACGGAACCATTCTGAACTGGTTAGAAGCCCTGAAATTTACAAATACAAGACCCACCTCATAGGCTGCTATGAGGATTAAACAAGATAGTAAATATAAAGCACCTATTCAGGGCTTGCTACACACCAGTGGTCAACAAATGTTGATTCTCCTCTCTTCCAGCTCACCACTGCATGAGAGGTGATGGCTCTAGTCTGAGAAGTGGCAAAAATTCTTGCCCAGAAACAGATGGGATGAGTTTTCCTATGTAAAGTGTCCACTGCACTGAAGCTGAGGCTTTTTCCTTGTCTAGGTCTTAATCTAATTTCAATGTGGTTTACTTTCTGCCTTACAGGAAGTGAGCCCTGTTATGTGTCTGATGTAAATCACATGTGATTTGGAGCACTGTTCTGTGAAACACTCAGGTGGCTTTAATTCACCATCATGCTCCTAAACTTTTCTGAACTGAGGAATGCACTAGTTACACAAGAGAAAGAATACAAGGCTCCTGTCCTCATTATCTGAGTGAAAAACACTGCTATCAGGTCCTGTCAGGCCAACAGAGGCCTCTTACAACCAAGCAGGCACCAGAGTCACGGCTGTGGTCTACTCTTTCACTGATGCAAGATGATGCCCCTTCTGGCTCTGTCAGCACATTGATCACACAGAGCTCAGTTCTGAGTCCCGGGCCTTGAGCTTCACTCCCTCTTTAGTCTTCTACAGACCAACATTCTCTGCAGTCCACCAGTTTTGGGAAACCGGCTTTTATCTTGAATAAGTACTAGACTCTGACACTTCTACTCCAGCAGCCTGGATTCTGGTACCTGGTTCTAATGCTAAGATTCTTCAGTTTACAAACCTGTCTCCTGTCACCCAAGGAGCAATACAAGGGCCCTGGCAATGGTTGAGATTGTGAGTTGTATGGTCAATCAATTATGGTAAAAAAATTTCTCAAAACCTTTTTCACATGAGTAAAATGGAATTTAAAAATAGTGCCTTCCTCACCCATGTTCATCACAGCACTATTTACAACAGCAAAAAAGATGGAAACAACCCACATGCCCAACAACAGAATGGAAAATCAAACTATAGTACATACACATAACAGAATACTATGCAACCCTAAAGAATAAACAATCTGCAAAACACTGCATAACATGGATGAACTTGGAAAACATATTATACTGAGTGAAATAGGTCAATCACAGAAGGACAAATATTGTATTAGTTCATTATTGTAAAAAGGAAAGGTTTATATATGAAAGGAAACTTTCTTTGTTGGTTGCTAGGGGTGTGAGGGGAGGGGAGGGAACACTGCAAAAAAAAAATTAAAATAAATAAATAAATACACACACACACACACACACACACACATTGACCCAAGCCACTTTAGTTTTGTGTATTTCATTGTTACGTAAATTATATTTCAATAAAATGTATTAAAAAAAAATAGTGTCTTCCTCATAGGCTTACTGTGTTAGACTATATACAGTAATCCTAAAGGCTTTTGGGACTGGTACTTAATAAATATTAGCCATTCTTCTTTACTACTACTGCTTCTACTCTGCTCTTTTCAGGACTCCTTCAGCCTCCCAGCATGTCCTCAGCCTTCTGTGTCTAGGGCTGGAATAACCAACTGCTTGGGCTTTCGTTTTATCTTGTGACCAGCAAAGTTAGAAGCTTAATGGGAATTCATAATAAATTGCATCTGAAGACTGCAATTTAGCTAGAACATCACATGCTAATGCAGAGACCAAACGGAACTCTAGAAATCCAAGTAGGACTATTTTCTTGCAGTCATTTGAGAGGGTCTTAAAAATGAGACTTTTTCCTGGGTGTGAAGCCAGAGGATTGATGAGTACAGAACAAAAGCAAAGTGAAATTTCCTGCTGAACATCACACAGAGAGGAAGAGTGAATTAAAATATTCACAAGAAGTTTGTTCTGTTTTTAAAACCAGGAATGCAATTTACCTCAAACTGTGTTTTCATTAAAAATTCACTTAGTTTTGTACTTCTTCATTCTTTTTCATTTCTATTCTTGTTACTTATATTTCTCTTGTAGGTCAATATAGTTTTCTTTCCAAGGCTTAGCAACTGTAGATGTATTCCTAAAGTTTCATGTTTTTCCTTCTTCAAATTAGACCATTCTTATACTAAAATTTTACTTTTGTTTTTAAAATAATAATCATTATGCAATAAGCCACAGTAACTTAATTGAAAAACAGACAACAAAAGAGCACTACAAATCATTAAACATACTTGGTTGCTTCTCCAAAAGCTCTTGAAACTTCTTCCTTTCATATTCAATTGACTGCTGCATGAGATGCGGCCTAATGCTACTGACGGCAAAGTTCGCCATGTCCACTTTCATGAGGTCTAACACAGAAAAAATTGCCCTGAAAGAAAAGAGATGAACCGACTCAGAATCAGAAACTCTTAAAAGCACAGTTTTAAAAAGAGTCAGTTGATTTAAGTCTTTTCATCTCAGAAAGGGTAACAAGTTAGAAAAGTCATGAGAAAAATATTAAGAAAAACATTTAGAACACACAAAAATTTAAATAATTTAAATGTTTGAAAAGTCTAAGTTTTTAAGCTCCTTTTTGTCACTCCACCTACATAGGTCCCCCAAGCAAATATAGATCCCCTCACTGTCTTTCTGGCCCAAAACTCAGTTCTTGGCTCTGAATGGTCCCTCATGGCAGCCACAGAGGAAGAAGAGCCTAAAACCCAAGGTTAAGGGTACAGAGCTTATCACCACAGTTTACACATTCAAATAGGTTAATTCACTTTCCCAAGAAAATTAACTTGCTCTTTTCTCCTCGCCCCTATTCCAGTCTTAGTTTTAAGGCAGGTTTTATGCTCTAGTTTTGATGGTAAAATTGCTAGTTCAGACTCTGAATGTGCCCAAGGGGCAGAGGTGACCTGATGCCAAAGTTCCTTCAACGCTGCCTGTCATATACCATAACCACTACTGCCAGATCTCAAGAGCTGCTGAGTGGCCTGCTTGCACAAGGTAGTTAAGAACCCAAGATGCAGGTTTAGGTGTGTCCCACACAGGAGGAAGAACAGGATCAAATGTCCTCTGAAGTCTGCTGAAGCCTTCTGGGACCAGCTGTAAATATGTCACAGAATAAACTCACCCATGCATAATATAATTATACATGGGAAATGATACACTGAGGAATAATTAAATTCTTCTCCAAATTTCGAGCCCTCCCTCTGTCATTCTGTCTACCTCCCAAACACATGGGCAGTCCACTTCTCTTGGAGGGCATTCTGCCTTTCCATAGAGGGCATTTCCAACAGTTCCCCAAGTCCACCCTGAAACCAGAGGCTCTCAGAAACTGCCTACTGGAGGCCCACTACTGGAAGTAACCCTCAAACATGTTTTGTGTTCAGTGCTTTTAAAACATCTGGGTTTTCAGCTTCTCTTTTAACAACACCAAGAAAAGCCAAAGGGGCACATTACATCATGATGGCCACAATTAGATGGAACTAAGTGCTCACTGCTGCCTCTTTTATACAGGGCACAGACCCTCAAGTTTGCCACAATTCCCCGAGTCCCTTTCACACTTTACAAAAGGAATTTGAGTTTGTTACAAGATATTTTGCCAGAGGACTCTCTTCCAAGCAATTCTTCATCCAATTGATCATAGATTGTAAGGTCTTATCCACTATTTTAGGAGCTCTGGTAGCATAGTGCCTAAGGCACTTGACTGCTAACCAGAAGGCTGGAAGTTCACACCCACCAGCCACTCCTCGGAAGGAAGATGGGCTGATTTACTTCCATAGTCATACTGCCTCGGAAACCCAAGGAGGGGTCACTATGAGTCGGGTCCGACTCGACAGCAAATAACAACAACAACATCCACTATTTTATTTCTAATATTTAGAACCAAGAACCATGCCTACCACAAAAGAAGGGCTCAATAAAATGTGTGGCATGAATGAACAAATTAAGGACTGTTATTAGGGGATCTTTTTTAACTTTACACTGCAGGGCATTTTTGTATGTACTAAAGAAACGAGGGAGCTCTGGTAGCATAGTGGCTAAAGCACTTGACTGCTAACCAGAAGGCTGGCGGTTCAAACCCACCAGCCACT